CGTCTACAGTAGCGGCGCTTAAAAACTACACTCATTTCTTTGTTATCGTTTTTATTCCCAGAAGCCTCAAACTGCTAATAAAACATGAACACACAGGTTTATCTGCCTGACGTGAGGTTTTATGACTCCGATCAAATATCGGCTTCAAACCAAACTAACGGCCGACGCGGTGCAGGTGTGTTCAGTGGAGATGGTTGGTAATCCAATAAACATAAGCTGCTCTCAGTTTGTTGGCATCGAGGACGTCCAGGTTGGACTTCACCGTTGTTTGTGTTTACCAGAATAAAAGCGGACGTTGTTTCCTACCTTGCATGTTTGGCACAAGCCTCCTTCAAACAGCGGGTGGAAGGTCGCCGCTCTCGTCTTTCCACAGGAGAGACAGAAATCTGCCGGAGAACAGAGACATCAGCAGCTGGACGACGAAAAGGCAACCGACAGGGTTAATGGTTGATCCATTATTAGTCCACGTTAATCGTTACCTTCTATACTTCTTTTATTCTTCAGAACTTCATTCACCATTTGTTCTGACGGAAGAAGAGGGACGACGTTAGAAACAAACAGATCTGGACATTTAATATTTTCTTTTTTAAAAATTGCCAAAAGGAACGTTAAAGAAACGCTTTGGGTTCAGAGGCTTAAAATAAAGTTTAGATATTTTTAAAAAGGACAAAAAACATGAGTCTGGTGTAGAAACAAACTAAATGTTTCTAGAATCCCTCCAGGGTTTTGGGTGACTTTCACTGAGCTGTAAAGTACTGATTAAATCGTGTTAATAGCAGTAAAACAACACATCTGCTGAGCTCGGCGCTGCGTCGGGCCGAACCTCTGCTGTAGGACTCCTCGGGTGCTGCCTTGCTCTTGCAGAGACTCACTCTGGGCCTCTTGGGACTCGGGAAGTAGTCGGGCGGGGAAAGGTCGAGGACGTGGTGGACCAGAGGGTTGCTGTCTGCTCACAAACACAGTGACGCCGGTTAGATTCCCTCCCGCCTAAACGTGGGTCGGCGGTACGGGTTAGTGAGGCTCACCGGCGCTGTGCGTGGGTTTGAGTCCCTCCTCGCCTTTGGGCAGGAAGCCGCCGTTGGCCCAGTCCAGCATGGGCTTGACCTGGTCCTCCGGGTTGTCCGACTCGCAGGGAGGAAACGTCTTCTCTGCTCGGCCGCTGGCCATCTGGAGGACGACAGCCAGGATCAGAGTCTGTGTAGCNTGTTCATTTTAATCTGTTTCAGCCTTTCTTTATGAACTTATTCTAGTTATGTGCTTCTATTGTCACCATTTTTATCCTTGTGATGTTGGTTTTACCCTCCTGTTTTTTAGTCCACATTCTCTTCCTTGGATGTAGGATTTTTATTGTTCTATCTGCTGATGTTTTACTAATTTACTTTGAAAATCTGCTCCCATTTTTTCCTACTTTTCTATTTTTGTCGTGTCTGTAAAAAAATAAATTCGACATAAATGAAGCCGGTGGCTGAATCTCTGCAGGAGTGGTGGAGGCGACTCACAAACTCCTGTCCCTTGTCGTTGGCGAAGAACTCCTGCAGCTTGAGGCTCCAGTCGTGCCGTCGCTTCAGGACTCCGTACTGCAGCAGCGGCTGGCACATGAAGCAGCGCCACGGGTCCTGGTAGCGGGCGCTGTTGGACGCCCCGGGGTCCACCAGGATGTCCAGGCAGTCCACGCAGAAACACCTGCAGCAGGAGGAGGAGGAGGAAGAGGAGGAGGTCAGCAGGGGAACAGGAGGAGGACGAGGATTATTGTGTGTTCTGGTTTCTGCGAGTCGGACCTGCAGCAGTTGGCGTTGCCACAGAGCAGAACCTCTCGACCCCCGCAGCAGACGGTGCAGTAGGACTGGTAGCCGTCGTCGTCGTACATGTAGGACATCTCCAGGTAAACGTCCTGAACACACAGAAACAAACTTCATCA